TAGGGATTATAGTAACCAGAAATGAAAAAATAAAACTTAAGTACCCCTAAGTAAATTCCTCAGGGTTTGGAGTTCGGGGCTTTGGGGTTACACCTACGACCCATGACTCCACAAACCGGGGGTGTGTGGGATGTGCGTATTCAATCCGCCCAGCTCCTGCCTGGACCCCAAAAGTATGTAGAATTATAGCCTTTTATAGGTTTTGGGCCATTATTTTACCTACTTTTGGGGGTCTAGGTGCACACTTTTTTCGCAACACAGCTGGAGCTGTTGCAAGCCAACAACTGTATGTTGATTGTTGGATCCTGCTTCCTTCATAAACCCAACAGTAGAATAAGAGTCAGTATAATCTAGAAGGGGCCCCCAGCCTGTAATAGTGGTAAAATAGGAACATGATAGGGCCCTAATATAATCCTTATAGTCAGAGTCATAGTCACTATTACAGCGTGGGGGCCCCTTCTAAAGTATAATGGTCTTCTTGTGCCATGGGTCAAGAAGTCGAAAACTTCTGCCACCACGTGCGGCTCCCGCATGCGGTTCAGGGCCTGCGTCTCCGGGACGATCGTCAAAACTTCAAGGCACAACCAGAATCCAAGGGTAGAAGGAGGGACCCTTAATAAGGACCCCTAGGCACATACCTTCAATATAGCCATTATACGCTTCCTATGGCCCATTATTTTCCCCTTTGACAGAAACTCGAAACAGCCTTGACCGTAAAACTCGGCACCCTGAAGTCTTATATAGGTAGTTGTCAAAATTAGGGCCCCTTTTCGGGTACCGCAAGTATTAGGTGCCGTATTGTATTAAGGATCCAAAAAGGGACCGTAATTTTGACAACCACCCATATAGACCCTTACACCTGAAATTCCACAGCCCTAAACTCTTGAACCCCACCTATAGTCTCCATTGTAGTTCCTTTTTTTGGTTTAACCAATTATATATCAAGGATCCCGTAAGGTAATTAACCCCAAAAAAGAATTACAATGGAGACTATAGGTAAGACCCTGAACCCCCACTCCTCCTTGTGGCCCAGGCCTTTTGTTGAACATCTGCAGCTTCCGTGGGAAGCCGCAACGCAAGAATCTCGTGGGCGTTGGCCAAGATGTCGCGGTTGATCCTCAATATTTAGAGGTTTCACGATTTGGGGTTTCGGGTCAATGTTCGGCGGCTTGGAGTTTGGAGTGTATGGCTGCGTTCCAAAGTACTCTTGGCTAGAGCCGGCGATTCCCAACGATGCTTCAACAGGCCCACCCTCCCAGAATCCTTTTCATTTTTTGTTTGTCTCTCTTCCAACCTGGAACCCTGTGTCTCACACCACTCCCCCACTTAAAGGATCATGGGACTTAGTAAGTAAGGTTATAAGTACATTAATTCTAAGTCCCATGATCCTTTAAGCACCAACAACACAATAAGACCTGATCTGCTGAAAAGCTGCTGCAACTCCAGAGTTGGAGGCGACCATAACAGGTTTGCGAGGTCACGGCCTCAAGGCGACAGAGTCAAGTTTTGAAGGGCTTAGGGTTCAGTGCTTATAAGGGTTTTAAGAATTTTTGTAGGGTTCCGGGTTTAAGGGTTAACGGAATTTTTGTAGGGTTCAGGGCTTAAGGGGAGTAGGAAACTTAGGGTTTAGGGTTTCGGGTTCCTGTTTTGGGGTGTCAAGTTTTGCACTTAGTTGCCGAGTGCATAAGCCCCAAAAAGTTTAATCTCTCAGTTTTAAGAGGGTTTCATTATCCCAAAGAGTTTAACGTTTATAAACTCAGCTACTAAGTGAAGGGTTTTAGAGCTTCAGGGCTTGAGGTTGCAGGGTTCAGCCTGGGGGACCTCGGGCTTGGGGCTTCAGGGTTGCAGGCTGACGGGTTTGGGGTTTAGGGCTCAGGGTTGAGAGTTTGGGGTTTTGGGGTTTAGGGTTTAGGGGTTTAGGGTTTAGGGTTTAGGGTTTAGGGTTTAGGGGTTTAGGGTTTAGGGTTTAGGGTTTTGGGTGTGGGGGTTAGGGTTTAGGGTTTTGGGTTCAGGGTTTTCAGGCTTCAGGATATTCGGAGCAAGCACTAGGAGAGCTGTCCCAGTCGGACAGCGCCGACAACACAGGAATAACCCCTAAACCCTACAAACCTTAAACCAGCCCCGAATCCTAAACTGCGATCGGGCGGCTTGCAAAGTGCTCTAGCCGTCCCAAGGCGGCCGCAGCGGCGCTTTCCATTGACGGGGCGCTGGCAATCCCAAAGGTGGCCTGATCCGGCTTAGGTTTTCGGGGTTGAGGGTTTAGTGGAGAGGGATTGGGGGTTGAAGGTTTAGGATTTCAGGGTTGAGAGTCTAATGTTTAGTACTGCGATTCACGTCTAGCTCTCGAGCCTACACACACTCCGCACTCTTCTCCGTTCTCCCTTCTCCCTTCTACCTTCTTCCTTCTCTCTCCTCTCTTCTCTCTTCTCTCTCTCGCTGTGTCTTGTCGCCTCCCTCTGTAAACAAACAAACGAACAAACAAACCAACAAACAAACAAATACACAAGCAAGCAAACAAACAGCAAGCAAGCAAGCAAGCAAGCAAGCCAGCCAGCCAGTCAGCCAGCCAGCAAGCCAGCAAGCCAGCAAGCCAGCAAGCCAGCAAGCCAGCAAGCAAGCAAGCAAGCAGGCACGCAAGCAGGCACGCAAGCAGGCACGCAAGCAGGCACGCAAGCAAGCAAGCAAGCAAGCAAGCAGAGAGATACGAACAAACAAATATTCATGCATTCACGTGTTCATGCTGTCATGTATGAATGTATGTATGCATGTATGTAAAAGTGTATGTATGTAGGTATGCATGCATGTATGTATGCATGCCCATCTGCGTATGTGTATAAGCAATATGTATATAAGCGTGTGCATATATACTTATCTACACATCATAGGTTTTTGAGGATACATACACACACTATAGAGAGATCTGCTACAATATCAGTATGTACAGGTATATGTAATTCCCTGGTACTCAACCTATGTTGGCCCTTCAAAGCCTCTGAAAAATATCCGTAGATAGGGTCCTATAAAGCCCAATAAGGGGAAATACAAAATATCCCAGAGGCCTACCTGGAAACCTATTTGCTGGGACCCTTTTGAGGGCTCGGCAGGTGCTCATGCAGTCATGGCCGAGTTCTGCGGCTCTGCATCCTCCCAGGAAGGTTCGCAAAAGATGGCAAAAGCAAAATACAACATACAGCCAAAGCCTTACAGTAGAAGCCAGAAAGTTGGAATATGATTATCCTCACCCTTCTATGGTAAATTATGGGGTATCCTAGCATGAAACCATATTCCAACTTTCTGGAGTTCCCTGTGCAGCCAAGGCCTTATTCCAACTGCTAAGGCCCCAAAATCAACTCCGAGAGGGCTTCTGGGCTGAAAGCACTCAGGTCTTCGGGTTCAGCGGAAGCTTTCGCCTACTGTAGGGGCCTTAATAGTTAGAATAGGGTCTTGGGGCCCATTATACTATAATCATAATAAGGAACCCCCACCATAATATTGGTAATTATTTAGGCCCCTAGATTACATCTCTGAAGCCCAGAGCTCAAAGCGCTCCGTCCTGGACCTTGCTGCGAGCTTCGAGACCCAGGTCTTCCGCCAGCGGCTCGGGAAGGCTTATCTCCAGCCTAGGTGGGGCTTTTAAAGCCTTTGAAAAATATTAGTAAATAAGATCCTCTTAAGCCCAATAAAGGAAAATATAAAATGTCCCAAAGCCCTACCTAGCAGCTTGCCGGGCGTCCACAGGGAGTTGGAGGGATCCTGCCCAGGATGTAAGATACCGTAACATACAAACCTTTCAACCGGAGAGCCCATTAAGACCCTGCAGCACTCTTGGTGACGCTAAAAGGCGTCCTCCACAAACCGAAGCCCTAAACCGAGCATGAGCAAACATGAGACCAACCAGTCTCTGCTTTACACCTATAAACTTGGAAACCCGGGACGGGATTTGAGGCCTACTGTACTATACTTAAAATCAGGAGCCACCGAAACAGTGTTGATAATTATTGAGGCTCCGAAAAAAAGAAGGGAAATAGAACGCATCTTTCACCGGCTAAGGATGAGGTACTTGAGTCTTGGGTTTGTGGGTCTGGCCATGAGGGTCTGGGCTTCAGTGTGAGGGGTTTGGGTTTGTCGTTTACAGGCACTGTGCTGTTGCTTTTCGTGCCACAGGTACCATTCCACGATGGCCCATCTCATATCCAGAGAGCCAGCCGCACCCCAAAGCCCAAACCCCTCACCACTTCAGCCGTTTAGGGTTCAGGGTTTAGGATGACGTAGCATCCAATGCGATGTAGCAAAGACCGGAGGCTCTCTGTACCGGAGTCTCAGACGTGACTTCACAGGCTATTGAAAACCCAGGCCGCTGCAACGACACGACAAAAAACAACACGAACCCTTGTCCGGGGACCTGCGGGTCAAGTTCCGTGAGGATCTCTCCCGACGCAGCAGCAGAAGAACGCAGTAGCAGAACCTTTTCATGTTTGCAATGAAGGGGATGGAGGTTGATTGCAATGCCTGTTGTCGGCTGCATCCTTGGTTTTCGTGACAGCTCCAGCGCTGCCTATAATTTAGATTACGATTCGATGTTCAAGGCTGTGGCTGGTAGGGCCCGGGACTTGAGGTCAGAAGTTCATTTCATCTCTCATTCATGGACTTCGAACAAACTCCTAACTCTGGATGCGTGGGCGGCCGAGGCAGGCTGCAACAGTTCGGGCTCCAGCTGCTGAAGCACGGAGAAGAAATATGCATATCATACCGATCGATGTGCCGTTCGTGTTGTTCAAGCCGCAGGTGTTGCCATACATCGCCATCCCGCTCCCTGCACCTTTTTGCTTCGAAGCTGCTCCGCTCCATTTGAATCTCAACGCCTCCTGAATCGATTCTCAGATACTACGAGGGATCTATAGTAAATGATTTCCTGAATCAGTCGGCATTTGAAAATCGCTCCGAGCAATCCTTCCCACGGGCAGGAATGCGTGTATTCGAATCTTCTGGCAAGTCGAAGCTCAAGCCACTTGTGACGAATTTGATCTAGCTGCAAGCTTCCTTGCTTCGATATTTCTCATCAGAAGCTCCTTGAACGTTTGACCGCTGGCCATCCACGACTCGCTCCCCTCGAAGTCGTTGAACATCTTGTCGTCGACATCCGTGTGCACCATGATCACCTAGGTGGGGCTTTTAAGGCCTTTGAAAAATATTAGTAAATAAGATCCTCTTAAGCCCAATAAGGGAAAATATAAAATGTCCCAAAGCCCTACCTAGTCACCTTTGAGAGCTTCAACCCGCAAGTCTCCACGCTGCCCGGGAGCATCCGAAACTCGTAGGGGATCAGCGCTGATCCTTCGCAGTAAACCCCTGAACTCCTGCCCTGACCTATTAGAAGCGTGAAAACAACATAAGACACCAAGACAGTTGATTGCATCTCCCTGTTAAACATGCATACTTATCGCATCTTGTAGTACCTTGTAGTATCTTATCTTATTTGATCGTATACAAAATATAATACTCCCCCAAAACATCTCAAAACCACAATCTCCAAGGATCCTTCTTGGTCTTCTTTGTTCCAGTTTACAGCCACAAAGGAGCACCGCTCGCGGCCGCACGGTTGCTGAATCATGCTCTCCAAAGACGAGTTGAACTTCGTCGCCATCTCGGTTAGAAACCTTGGACCGTGCTAAGACAACAAAACACAAAACGTTCTTCGTTCTTCGTTCCACCTCTTCTGCACTTGCTTATACCCCGGGTTTTGCTGCTGATGCTGCTGTTACTGCAAGGACAACATGTACTGCTACTTCGACAAAACAACACGCCCACTTGCATTTCAGTTTTCGTAGCAGGAATGGTAGCCACAACAACGCATACCAATTGCTACTGCCACCGCCACTGCTCCTGCTCCTCCAACTGATGCTGCTGTTCCTGCGCCTGCTGTTGCTCCCGCGACCGCCGCTGCTCCAGCTGCCGCCGCCGCTGCCAGTTCCACTACTAATTATGCCCGACCACTACGACAATACCTGCTACTACAAATACGTCTTCTTCTGCCACGGTTCCTGCTGGTGCTGTACTACTCAAATTACGACAACTATTCTCAGGACGGAAATACTAGCAGAATTGATAAGAAGACTCAGATAGACTCAGTGAAATCACAACATTATCACAATCGCCGTCGCCCCTGACACCACCATGCCCTGCATGTTGAAGTATTGTTGTAGTCACCATGAGACACGGTCAATGTGACGGTAACGAAGCAAACCCATCTGGGAGGCGGTAGCAGAGGAGGAGGAAGAGGAGGAGGCGGAGCAGGTGAATGACGATGATGGAAGGGGTGTTGAACATGACGACTGCAATGATACTGATCTTGGTAGCCGTGCTGGTAAGCTAAAGGTAACTAAAGGAATAATACCGGGGCCTGAACAATTCGAATAGGGTTTGGGGCCCACTATACTATATATTATTATACTCGGGGTTCGGGGAACCCCCAAAATACAAAAGGTAATTACACTAAGGCCCCTATAGTAATGCTATGAGGCCCTGATAGAGGACTAGAAGCTTCCAGTTTGGAACGATGCCTGCGCACTGGCTCGGGTTCTGAACCTTAATCTCCAGCGCCATGCGGTAGAACTCCTTGCTTGAGGCATCCGACCAGTCTCCCCATGACAGAAGGCCTTTTCCACCATAATAGAGGGCCAAGAACAAGTTATGGGTGGCGAAGAATGTAGGGCCGGAAATTTGGTCCAAGCCCATGCCGAACTTGATGCCATCTGCAAACTCCTGCGCCTTGAGGTTGCCTCCATGGTAGAGGATGGCCTCGGTTTCGGCAAAGTACGGCACCACGTGCTCAATCCCAACAGCGAAGCAAAGATCATCTTTGCACCTCAGTGGAAATCTTCTGGCATTTGAGCATCGCTGCGCGTTTTCACTACTAACCCTGGATCCCGAACTGTTTCGGCCGATCCCTACACTCTACACCAAAATGCCCAATTCCAAACTGCAATCTCACGTCGTGGCTTCCAAGACTTCATACAACTCAGACTTTTTGTGCAGACCCGGCTCGATGAAGTGTCTTTCGAACTGCCCCAGCTCACTTTCTTGTCCGCCGGACCCAACCATGGCGTGTGGTAGGCCTGATGTTGAACGAGCTCTTCGATTGACTTGAAGACCTCGACCTGGGAGATCAAAGGATTCAGGATGCTGGGTTTGGGCAGAGAGTGGAATCCTAAGATACGTCCGAACAAGTATATAGCATCCTGACTAAGGACCCGTATGGAACGCAAAGTCTGGTTTGCAGAAGCCCTCCGCACCTCGACACCGAGCTTGCTCCATGTAGCCTCGTACTCCTCAATCATCTTTGCCTGGACTACCAGCATGGCAATTACACCGATGCAAAGACTGCAGTTGGCTGTTTGTCATCACCACCGCTCAATACCATCACCACCCCTGGCACGATTATCAGAAGCTTGATGACCGCCACAGGCATAGTCCTCATCAAGGTCACATCATCTGTCATCATCTTGAACAGCCATTTGCAAATAACATGCCTGAGAACCAGTAGCAGAGAACGTGAGGGGACAGCACCAGAATCTTATCGTTACTACCGTTGTCAAAATCCGGAGGGGCCCAGGAAAGGGTCAGACTTTCAAAACACTCTAGGAAACTATACGTCCGACACTTGTTCATGAGACAGGCTCATGTGCGGAAGAGGCGGTCGTAGTATATAGAGTTTCTGCAAGAATATGTTCGTACATATATATATATATATACATATGCGTATAAATATATATATATATATATATATATATATACACACATATATATACACACATATATGTAAATAGGATATGATGATGTATGTGTGTGTATATATATATATATGTATACCAAAACATCGAGGGGCACATTATTCAGGATCCTCAGCATAAGAACCATACTATACATAGGGTCTGCAATGCGGTCCTGGATGTTCTGAGCTCCAACCAGGCTACGACGGCTCTCCGAACCAGACTTTTGGGTCAAGAAGGAAGGGTCCGAAACAGCCGAGTTCATGGGTAGTTATACATAAGTGGGCTTTTAAGTCCCTATATAATAGGAGTTACTATTTCCCTACTTATAATCCCACTTATATGACTACCCATGTACCTCCAAGTACGTACTCATGCCCAAGGACATGTAAGATCAAGACAGAAAGTTGATACAAGAACAACTAAGGACAACAGTAACCAGTGGCAGACCAAAACTTGCACTCGAGCCCTTCACCCCGAACCCCGCAACTAAAAACCTTATGAATGTCTGGCACAGTTGCGTACTCGTCAGGTGTGTAGCTGGCATGGTGGCTCAGCCGCTCCAGGTAGCTCTCTGCCCGGCTTTCTGACCGCAGTGCTGAGGTGCACTGCAGCAGTATTCCGAACGACAGGAACAGCATGATGGATGCATTAACACAGACTACGGCTAACCACCGTGGCTCTGAAGTGGCGGCGGATCTATTTTCTGCATGTCAGCACGCGCGCTAGCAGCTAGCAGCACACTCATCGACATCCTGGAAAACTGACAGTGGTATCATTGCTACTATATGCGACAACAGCGATGATCTCATGAGGAACAGTCAACACAACAGTCATTAGCACAATCATCATCAAGCTGTTATGAACATAGCAAGTGACCACGAGCAGGATTTCGTGATAATCATACTCATACTCCGTAAACAGGGAAAACCAGAACCAAAACAAAAACCAAACTGAACCCGAAACGTTGAATCTTAAACCTTACACCCCAAGCCTTAAACTAGTTCTCATGACTGCAAGCCTCTGGGACCCACCAAAACAATCTTATGTTCAATAACACCTTAGGCTTACATTTTAACGGAAATGCAGCATGAGGCTTACAAGGCCCCTAAGCCCTAAACCCTACAACCCCAAACCCTAAACCCAGAAGGAACACCGAGGTACATGACTCCCCCTTAGAACCGTAATAAACATGCTGTTGTTGCTCTTTTCTGGGCCGTTTCCGAAGGAGACTGCCGCTTTTACAAAGCCGAGATTCCTCCGGCATCCGAGCTGTGCTAGGGGCTCAAGCCTCAGTCCGGCTTCCAACGAGTTTACTCTCTAAGGGTTTATAAGGCCTGAGGGTTTAGGGCTTCGGGGGTTTAGGGGGTTTAGGGAGTTTAAGGGGTTTTGGGGGTTTTAGGGGGTTTAGGGGGCCTAAGGGGGTTTAGGGGTTAGGGTTTAGGCGTTTAGGGTTCAGGGGGTGTAGTAGGAGGCTTAGGGTTTAGGAGTTCAACTTATGGGGGTAGAGAGCCGCGGGGCTTAGTGGACGATGAGGGCATGGCCTAAAAAGTAGTGTAACTATACTTATAACTACTTATAACCCCAATTAAGGTACTTATAACCTTACTTACTAAGTCCCATGATCCTTTAAGTAAGGATCCTATGGACAAAAGAGGAACGAAGAATTCGGACACTGTCTCGCCGGCTCAGATCTCGGATGTGGAGAGACCCACGGCCTTGACCCCTGAACCAAGTCGCCCTAAACCCTAAAACCCTAAACCCCTAAACCCTAAACCTTAAACCCTAAACCCCTAAACCCCTAAACCCTAACCCTAAACCCTAAACGCAAACCCTGAAACCCTAAAACCCAAACCAAACCATAACAACTAAAGCTCCCGGGCTGCTGAACCAAGCCCCACCTCTCACACACAACAGCAACTCAGACAAGGCCACCATTTGTTAAGGTTTAGGGGTTTCGGGTATATAGGGGTTTTAGGTTTAGGGGTTGAGGGTTTAGGGTTTCGGGCTCGAGGGGACAAAAGGCCTGAAATCCTAATTCGAACACGAAGCGTAGAGCTCTGAGGACATGTATCTAGATGCTTTCTACACCGAAGATCTTACGATCTCTACTTGGGCAAATTGGAGCATGGAGGCAAAACAACATATTGTTGCAACCTGAAAGCGGCGTTGGACAGGTCCTGGGGCTTGGATTCGGTAAGCTGACGGCTGGCAGCTGCGCCAATGACAGCCATACACCTCGATGGGTGTAGGGTTTAGGGTTCAGGGGTGCTGGGTCGTCTGGATTCATAGGGTTGTCTTTGATGCTTTCAGGGCTCTCGGCCCCTCATTGATGCTCTCAAGACGGTTTGTCACGTGTGGTTTCGTGATACCCAACTACTCAAAGTCGCACCTGGGTATGTATTCGAGGAAATCTTCAGCCCGACCCACTGTATACCACTTCTTAGCTACACTTGAACAACCCGTCTTCCAAGAATCAAAAGACTTGCAGCCCAAACCCTGACTCCTGCACCTGAAGGATTGCAACAGCCTTCAGCTCCCACCTTGCCAACCTTAACCTTGAAACCAGAAGCTGGGCTTAGGGTCTAGCTATACCCCCTTAGAAGCATAATACAAACATATCTGAAATATTCTCTTGGGTTTTATATGAACAAAACAATACTTCCTAAGGAGACTATAGCTAGGGGTTGAGGAGCCTTGAAACCTGAAGGATCCGTCTCGTCCTGTGCCAAAGGCACCCAGCACGACCGGAGACAGCAGCCGCGAGCGACCAGGCCAGACCGGACAGGTCGTGTGGAAGCAGCCTGAGCACAGGGTGAAGCACATTACCGTACCTTAATATAGTCGGCCTCAGTGAACCGTATCTTTAAAGCCGCAAAGGGGCCTGCTACAAACGTGTGCAGGTTTCAGGACGCATATGGAAGCTTCCAAAAACAGGGGACCCAAATATAGTACCCTGAACAGTAGGACCCTTATTATAAGGACCTCAACATAGGGTACCCCTAATTTTCGGAAACTCCCATATATCTGATATGGATTTAGCCTAAATGCAACGCTGTCATTTCAGTATCCCCAAGGCCAAGTCTCTAAACTTTGACCCCTGCACCCTGAACCCCAACTCCTAAACCGGTGTAGGGCGTTGGTGTTGCATTCATTAAGGCAGCTTCACACGGCGAGCCCAAGCTTGCTAACAGCTTCAAGGAAGGGAAGGTTTAGGGTCAGGGTCTGGAATTGACCCATTCAATCTCTCCCGCCGTTGAGGGTTGCACTGGGGCTTTACTTAGGGTTTAGGGTTTAGGGTTTAGGGTTTAGGGCTCTTTTATTCCAACCTCTGGCACGGCTGGTCCACTTTCCGATGGCTTCTTAACCTCTCACACACACACACACACAAAACCCGCACCTGAACCCCACGACTTTGTCCGCACACCCAAAAAGAACTAGACCGCATAACCCCAGAGCCCGAGACGTTAAACTTAGAAACCTGAACCTAATCCCTGAAACGTATTAGTAATCACAACATGCGGTATATGATGAATATACTTCAGATATTCTCTAGTAGACTGTAACTATCATACTCTACTACACCACGATACACGGTCTACCAGCCAAAATGTCGAGCCTCTGTCCGTCGGCCAGCACCAGCACCGCCTGCGCGACGCCTTCGAACGTCGGCTCGGAGAAAGTCGCCACAGTCCCAGAGCTTCATGACATGTTCGTGGGCTCCTGGACCAGGTTTAAAGTCTTGTGGCTTTGTACCTGTATGTTATAGTACATTATGGTCTATCGCAGTAAATTCTAGTATGTGTGTATGTAGTGTAATATAGCCTGTAGAAGTATACCATAATCAATCACTGTTTTCCTGAAGTAGATTGAAAAAACATGTTGTACATGAACAGTGATGTTCAGGGTGCTACGGTTTGCAGACGTGAGATGCAAATCTCGCCAAAGCCTGCCCTTAGAGCGTGGCTACAAGGTGTTCCCAGAGCCTCCAAAACCCCTTAATCAAGGAATATACCTCAAATTATAATTGGATCCCTTATATGATTTAAGGTATATTCCTTAATTAAAGGGTCTTGGAGGCTCTGGGTTCCGTCTGCAGGATCCCTACATCCCAATAAGCTTTCGTTGCAGTCGAAGGCTGGGCTGCTGCGTGAAGGGTGGCGTGCTTGTCCGTCTTCCTACGCTCCTAAACCCCTATGAATACACCCTGAAGCTCTAAACCCTCAGCCCGGGTATCCCCAAACGCTACAAAATAGTAGGTTATGACGCCTTGGTTACAGGGCCTATAATCCCCAACCAGCAGGCTTCTGCATCCCCAGCTTAACCCCTGACTCGTCTAAACCCGCTTAGAACCCATAAGCCCTCAAATCCTAAACCCTCAACCCCTAAACCCTATCAGCCCCAACCCCTAACCCTTAAACCCCGAACCTTAAACCCTCCAAAGCCCGTTACACAAAAACCTCCACGGTCACTCCTGGGGCTTGGGCTCTTTCAAAAGCGGTAGCCCGCGCTGTGCTGCCGCGTGCATGAACGGGACCTGCTCATAGGCGAGCTGGAACTGTTGTTGCTGTTGCTGTCGTTGTTGTTGTCGTTGTTGATGTTGTTGCTGTCGCTGTTGCTGTTATTACTGTCGTCCGGCTCTTTGAAGTTTAGGCTAGGCTTCAGTGTCGCAGGGATTCAGACACCCTTTTGGGGGGTCTTTGGGCTCATTAAGGTTCTAGACCCCTTGACCCTCAAAACTCACCGCATCCAGGACCCATTCGCCTCCAGCCCCATTCAGACTGAAAAGGCCTCGAGCATCTCCGGTGACGCCGGCCCCCGCGACATGTTTGCGAGGCCCTGTGCAGAACAGTCACCAAGAGCTCCGAACGAAGATGCTGGCGATGCCTTGGTGGTGGCGGATGCGACAGTCACTTAAGGGGTTTACGGACGGCGCGCCTGGTCATGATGGTTGCGGCTGGTACTTTCTAGAAGCTGATCGGATTGTGGCTTTTGATGCTTCGTACTTTCTCACTACTGCCAATCTTGCTTCTCGTGCTCATGTTGGCTCAGGCATGTTTTGCTTGGGGGCTTGTTGGACTCGGGAAAGGCAAAAAATCCGTAGATAGGAATACCATGGAATACCTCTCTGCGTTTGAATGGAGGGGTGTGCCCAGGGATGCTCCGGCTCGAGGATTATTGGGCCTTGCTATCCCTAGATATGCGGCACTCAGGATGAACCAAGAAACTGCTGACCCAAACCATCCACCTCACCCCCTCCACTCCTTTCTCCTGGTCCAAAAGCTGACCCAACCCTAAAACCTAGACCCTAAACCCTGGCCCTACCAGGACCCCCCAACTACCCTTTAAAGGGCTCTGATATTTCTCATTAAGAGATAATTAGGGCCTGCATTACAGGGAAGTTGGGGGGTCCAGGTAAACCCTAGACCCTAAACACTGGCCCCTAAACCCTGGGCCCTAAACAAACGAGGGACCCTTAGTAAGGACCCCTAGGTATATACCCTTAATATAGCTAGTATATACCCATTTATAGCCCATTATAGGGTAGGGGTCCCCATTAAGGGTCCCTCCTTTTCCCCTTTGATAAACAGTTTTGTTGAAGCATGTCAAGGTGAAGCTCTCGTAGATGGTGCTCGGAGGCTCATGGGTAGTTAACTTAGTAGCTGAGTTCACAAGCCCCCCCAAAAGTGTACACTTTTAGTTCTATAGTGGGTAATATTATCCCAAAAAGTGTAAAGTGTATCCACTCAGCTACTAGGTTAAAAGTATGGCTTTAGGTAGGGCAACTATACTTATAACTCCGATTAAGGGACCTATAACCCCACTTATAACTACCCATGAACCTCCAAGTGGGGAGGGGGGGGGAGCTGTAGGGCTGGGATGTGGGCACAGGATTGGGGGGAGCGTTTGTGGTAATATAAGGCCTTAAAAATTAGAAGAGGGTTTTGGGGCCCATTATACTATATATTACTTACAGTAAGAAAACTCCAAAATCGTATTAGTAATTATTTCGGCCCCTACAGAAAATCATGGTCTCGGGCTCCCGCCTGAATTCTTGAAGTCTGCTTGAAATGCACTACTTTGCGGGTTTGGACCCTAAGCCCCAAACACCAAGCTTTTTTGAACTGGGGGTTGTGGCTTCGGGTCTGGGGTATGTCGCGCTCGAGGGATCTGCCGGGTCGGCCGGGGCCCCACCACTCTAGGCTTTGCGGTTTAGAGGCTTGGAGATTTAGTTTGCTGATCCCGGAGCTTAATGGTTTGGCAAGTTCTCGGCTGGTAATTGGTGAAACCCAACTACGGCACTGTGCGGTTTAGAGCTTTAGGCAGCGCTTACCCTACTTAATCTTGTCGACCATTGCATTGCCGGAGCCTTCAGGCACGAGCCAGGCTGCTGTAAGCACAGAATCCACGGCACCCAGCGTGGCGGAGTTTCAGGCACTGTTCCTTGAGGCCAATACACAAACACGTTTAACACCAGTAAGCTTTTTTAACTGAGCTAAACAAGACAACGAAATAAATCTAACACTAACTCGAGCAAGACCTGAGACAAAGAAGAAGGATATTATTCATCATCAATCGCAGACGCGACAACTATTAGCTTCAGTTTATACATAGTTAGCACAAATAACTCACTGCCGATGTTTTCCTTAGGAACAATAGGACGACAGCGCTTCACCCCGGGTGGAGGCGTTGTAAGATGCCCGGACTTGCATGTGCCCGGACTTGCATTTGACATTCAAATTTGACAGTGTTCGGAGAGGCCATTGGGCTATTCGCTTCTCTTTCCCGAACAAAGAAACCCAGACTCCGACCATTCCCGGTACCAAACCTAGCGATTCCGGGCGTATATCCCTGAAAAGTGCTTTCAGTGTCAGGGTTTGGCGATTAACAATGAGATCTCGGGGTTAAACGGGCTGTGTTCTTTAACACAAAACTTTTCAGGCTTGATATATTCTAGACCCAAGAGTAACCTAGGAGAAAAAAGGGTGCCCTTTTTTGGTTTAAAAGGCGCTTATAAGGGAACCTGAACCCTAAAAAAGGGAATAAGGGCCTACTCTGGGTCCTAGTATTATAGCGTCTGCAAATGTCTGCTTGAGCGACTGAAACTACTATGCGGTAAAAATCAAACACCCCACGAATCAGATTCGGTCAAACCCTACCCTAAGCCCCGAGAACCCACAAACCCTTACACCCAAAACCACCATAACCAGATGAACGCACGGAACACACCCAGGCTCATACTGATCCTAAGCCCTAAACCCTAAAGCCCTAAACTCTACACCCTAAGCTCCTAAACCTGAAACCCTGAACCCCGAAGCCCCAAACTCCAGACTTACAAGCTCCTAAACCTTACACCCTAAAGCCCTAAACTCTAAACCCACACCCAGGCTCGTAAGGTTCTGCTCAGAAAACTCCACTAGCCTCGTGCGGGAGCTTTGCTTGGAGGATGTCAGATGCTGGTAGTTTAGGTGGTAGTCGCCGTAGCTGTCGTAGCAGCGTAGTACTAGTAGCAGTAGTAGTAGAAGCAGCAGAAGTAGTAGCAGTAGTCGTAGTAATTTTTTGACTTAAAAACGATTACGACAACGACCACTACCACAACCCAATACCAAACCACCCGGAATCGGCTAAAAATAGGGTTACGGTTACTTCAGAAGCAAGTCTCGAAGCGGAGAAACCCACCTAATCCTGCAAATCTGGAGCCCTGAACCATGAAGCATGGAGGCAACAACCTTGCACTTGCGAAAAGAAAGCCGAACTTTGAGAATCCTCAGCGCAAAACTGCAGAATTACCTTAGAAGGTTTCAGGTCTCGCAGGCCTAAACCAAAACTGCAAACCCTAAAAACAACTACTTTCAGGGTTTGGGGTTTAGGCTTCATGGGTAGTTATAAGCGGGGTCATGGGTAGGGTGACTATATTGTTATAAGCCCTACTGGGGGACATATAACCCTACCTATACTATAGCTATAGTCTCCATTGTAGTTCCTTTTTTTGGCTAACCAAAAAAAGGAACTACAATGGAGACTATAGGTAGCTACCCATGAACCTCCAAGTAGGGTTCAAGAGCTCCCGGGCTCGTGACGCTGGCCTGGACTTCGCTCCGGAAGAGGCCGCAGCCATCAGGGGGAAATGGAGGAAGGCTGCCTGCACGTGGCAGCCCAAAGGGTCCTATGTACCGATATAGTACAACTTAATAACTATTAAGACTTAGGGAAGTACCCCTCATAACAGTACATAGGACCCTTTGGGCAGGTTTTTGCTGCCTTCAAAGGGCTCCCAAGTTGGGATGAAGGTAGGTGGAATACTCCCAAACAAGAGTTCTTTTACAAGGGATCATTCATCCTACCTAACTTCATGCCACCTTGTAGGCCTCCAGTGCCTGCACGTGGCAGTAATGTAGGAACCTGATAAAGATACCTTGGGCCTTTATTAAAAATTAGGGTTCCTTATGTGAACCCTTCTATCTTGGGGTTATAGGCCCAGGATTTCTTAATCAGGTTGTTACAATATTCCGAAAGACCCGAACGCCCCAAATGCAAAACCCTGAATAGCAGAATCCTTACTGTACCTCAAAAGGGTACCCCTAGTTTCAACAAGCTCCCAGTTAAGGCTAGCTAGCTGGTAGAGCGTGGCGGGGGAGGTCCCAAGATTTACGTAGGGTTTAAGTCGCCAGGCTTCAAATCTGTTAAGGGTTGAAGAATTATACTGAACCTTCCATGTATACGGAACGTACCCTGCAAGAGAGAGGTGCCAATCATTCCATGCTTGTTGAGATCCCCCAAAAAGCGCATAAGTAAAATAAGGATAGGGATATCCCACATAAATCCCCTTATAACGAAGCCCAATACTTGGAGGTTCATGGGTAGTTATAAGTGGGGTTATAAGTAGGATAACTATAGTGATAAGCCGTATTAGGAGACTTATAACCCTACTTATAACTACCCATGAACCTCCAAGTAGTCCCTAAACCCTAAACCCTTGTAGAATCCCTACAGATCCCTTTAAAGGAACCATGAACCTGCAAGTAAGGTAGGGATATCCGTATGAAAGGCCTATGCTTATCCCTACTTGGTGGGCCTCTCTGCTCTGCGAGATCCTCGACGTTCGCACATTTTTCTTAACACACCCTACCTAGACCCCCAAAAGTAGGTAAAATAATGGCCCAAAACCTATAAAAGGCTATAATTCTACATACTTTTGGGGTCCAGGTAAGGGTCACCCTACTTAAAGACTCATGGGACTTAGTAAGGTTACAAGTACCTTAATTGGGGTTATAAGTAGTTATAAGTATAGTTACCCTAATTATAACCCTAGTTACCAAGCCCCATGATCCTTTAAGTAAGGGTCCATGTACCCCTTTAAGCGGTCCCATTTTGTAGGGTTTGGGGTTCTAAGGGCTCATGGACCCAAAGAGTATAAACTTTGCATGGCCCCAATGTACCTACGTAGGGACTACTTTAAGGCCAATGTGCATACCATTTGGGTACATGGACCCTTCGGGACAGAATTCAATGAATCTCATGTCTCGGGCGCAGATACGGGCTACTAGGAGGCGGACAGCACCTAGTCCGGTCGCGATTGACCAGGCTCGAAAATCATTGCTGATGGGACTTCAGCTGGCTGGGCTTAGTTAGGAATATGCGTCCTATTGCCAAGACTCTCCTTCTACCTTCTATTAGACCCTAAATACCTCTCTTAGGGACCCTTCACCCCTCTTTGAGGGTACAAGGAGGGTCCTGGTTCCAAGTGCTCCTATTGGAATCAGATAGTGCCCGGGGCCTTCGCAAGATCCCGCACGGCATTGGACAGATCCTGCGGCTCCAGCACACCTGTGCAGATAGTTATGTTGCTACTGCAAGTGTGGCTGAAGGCTGAAAGCTCAAATTTTGATGCCAAGGCAACAGTCATGGGAGTGGGCGCCTGCAACTAGCCTTTCCCCGGTCATCTTCATCATGGCTTCCTTCATGTGGCGAAACGTGGCCGGCGTCCAGGCTGTACTGACCTCCAGTGTAGAGAGTGCGCTCCATAACGTGAAGCGCGTACACCGGAATCTCAAAGGGGAAAAGGAGGGACCCTTAATAAGGACCCCTACCCTATGATGGGGCTATATACTGGGTATATAATAGCTATATTAAGGGTATATCGGGTATATACCTAGGGGTGTCCCTCCTTTTACCCCTGGAGGAATCCCAAGCTCAAGATCTTCAGCCGTAGGACTCGAAGAGGCCAAAAGCAAGCGTCCGGATGTCTCAACTACAGGTAGACCAGGTACCCCCCTACGCTTTTTTCATGCCCGGAACCCTCGTAAGCATGACTTACCTTTGGTTAGTAGGGAATGAAAGAATGGTAGTAGTAGTAGTAGTAGTAGTAGTAGTAGTAGTAGTAGTAGTAGTAGCAGTAGTAGTAGTAGTAGTAGTAGTAGTAGTAGTAGTAGTAGTAGTAGTAGTAGTAGTTATAATTGTGCCCCATTCCTCCATTCCCTACTAACCAAAGGTAAGATGAGGCCCTGCTCGCGGCTAAGGAGCAGGATGCTGTGCGTGGGACTCCTCTCTTCGTGCTTCCACTGACCTATACTGAACTTAGAACCCTAGCAAAAATTAAAATTTTAGCTGTTTCTTCGGGAATATAATAACCAAAAAATTGAAAATTATGTCTATGTATCCCTAAGTGACGCGAAGAGGGAGGCCACGAAGTCAGGGTTCTCCGAGGACACCTGGGCAGTTCGACGCATCAAGGTTGCGCTAGGCTTTTGAAAAGTGTCCCTCGAAGGGTTGTGTAGAGGGTCCGTGGTGAAGCTATAATCGGGCACGTCATAGGGCTTCAAAGTCTCTTTCCTGTGATATGGGCAGAAAAGAGCAAAGAGCAGCCTGCTCTTTATGGGTCTGCACATCGCATGTGTTGCATCTTGCCTGTACGAGGGCCAATCTGAGGGCAGTGCTGTGAGGTCTTATTGCCAGCCGGCAGCTTAGGTTTCTAGGCCATCCAGCAATCCTTTGTATTAGGTCCCAGTTGGGGGTGCTCTTGAGATTAGGCGCGAGGGTCCTTTGTAGTGAGGGATCTATGATTTGGGCTTCTATACTGCGGTTGATGATATAAATCCTGCATGACCTTAAGGACCCTAAACTATGGGAATTATGGCATATTCCTTATTATGAGTAATGCAGGATTTATATCATCAACCGTGGGTACCTGTCTTTTTTGAACTCCAAAGACTGGCAGAAGGTGGGGGGAGACCCAGGTCCCAACCTCCACAGCCTGCTATAGCACCCCCCCCCACCCAGCCACAAAAACAGATAAAAGCAGCTCCAACAAGCAACACTACCTATAGTCTCCATTGTAGTTCTTTTTTGTAGTTACCTTATGGGATCCTTATATATTTGGTTAAACCAAAAAAAGGAACTACAATGGAGACTATAGGCTACAGGTAAACTCCAAACCCGAAAACAGTTAACCCTGAACCCTACACCCACACCCACAACAATCACAATGACGATGAGAGCAACCGAGGCCTTCCCAGCTCTCCATACGGCATTCGCCAGGTTCTGAGGTGAGAGCTCCTGTCAGGGCTGGTGCAGGGTGGAGGCTTTGAGTCTGAGTTTAGCTAGGATGTCCAGTAAACTAGGAATAAAAAGGGGCTCCCTTTTTGGTATTCTTTTTGGTATTGTGTAACTTTCTAAGGAACCTAGGACTACCAAAAGGGAATAAGGGTAAAACTGGGCATCCTAGTTAGTGTTTAGGCTGGAAGCTCTTTTTGTGCAGGGTTTAGGGTCGAGTAGAGTCGAGGGTCTTCGGCGCCGTTCAATGTTACTTTGGGGTTGCACTACCCGGCACTTCGGGATACCTGCGAAGAATGGCGATTGCTCAGAAGCCGTCAATGCTTAGAGGGAGCCTCAACTGCAAGACCCTCAGAATCCCAAAGCCACGCCCGGAAGTCCCCCGCCAAACTCTGAAAAATTACATTACAAGCCCTGAATACCCGAACCCGTCAACCCCAGAAACCCTGAGCTCCACGTCTCAAAGTTTGGACCTTGCCTGAAGGACGTAGAACCGAAGCCTGAAGCGCAAACATCCCGCCGCCGCAAGAACCGTGAGGCTCTGCGTGTATACTATACTACAATTGCTACAATTAACAAACGTAACCCAACGGAATTGGTAACGATTCGGGCTTGCATATTTTTGTTTTAGCACTTCAGGAGTTTGTTTTGGTCAAAGGTAGCCGTCGTCCTCCGCCTTTGCCGCGGCTCCCGGAGCAGCGAACGCTAGCCCGCCATCGACGCGAAGGCAACTAGGGGCCTGCAATCACTTCGTTGCTTCTTGAAGGTTAGTTGGAGTGCCAGAAGTATACATGGATGAAATTGTGGGAGTCCTAAAGTGGGCTGCAGTGCTTCGGCGTAAAACCCGTAACCCCAAACCCTCTTCAAACTTATGGCTCGCATGATGACGACAGAAAACCGACAGCTTTCTGCCAGGAGTGCTTGCCGAAATGACATCGTCTAAAGAAAGCCCTTCGGATCAGCAAAGTAAAAACTCCCAGAACACAGCTAGAACCCCGGGTCACGCAGTGTCTCTGCTACTAATCCAGTGGGTACCACTGCCCAATGACATGTCGCAGACGACGGCTCTTATCTCTGCGGTTGGGGATCGCGGCCTCGGGTAAGGAAGGGAGGGGGGGACGCGGTTCTGACTGCGAATATGCTAGCTGCGTATTATCGAATCGCTTTTGGAAGCTACCGGATGTCCGAAAACCTGGGTAAGAAACATACCACGCCTCGCGCAAGAACTGTTGACGTGGGAAGCCGACCCGTGTAGTCAAAAAACCCTAAACTTCCCCGAACTCTCAACCCACAAATGTAGGAACCCCAGCCCGCATAGGCCTGCATCGCATTGGCAGTGCCCTGCGCGCGGAACTCTGGTGATTTGAGGACGACCAGCCTCGGGGCCAGATGCCCTAGACGGCGCAGGGTTCAGCTGGCAACAACAACAGCTGCAATATGGAGAGCACCAGCAATGACACCACGACTGCCCGGGGAGTGCGATCATCCCTGTCACCATCATGACCAGCATCGACAACAGCGTGACAATGATCTTCATCTTTGTCTTCATCGTCATAATCATTGTCACTTCATTTGGCTCTGGCAGTGTCACTGTAGTCCTTAACCCCTCAGCTGGCAAGACATACCGTTTGTACGATGCAGGCCACACAAAAAAACACGTGTCGCTACAATTGGTGGCGGTGGCGGTGCGGCTGCTGCAGCTGCTGCAGCTGCTGCTGCTGCTGCTGCTGCTGCTGCTGGTGCTGGTGCTGGTTGGCTCGTACAGTTGCTGGTGCTGGTGCTGCTGCCGGTGGTGGTGGTGGTGGTGGTGGTGGTGGTGGTGGTGGTGGTGGTGGTGGTGGTGGTGGTGGTGGTGGTGGGGGTGGGGGTGGGGGTGGGGGTGGGGGTGGGGGTGGGGGTGGGGGTGGGGGTGGCGGTGGCGGTGGCGGTGGCGGTGGGGGTGGGGGTGGGGGTGGCGGTGGCGGTGGCGGTGGCGGTGGCGGTGATGTTGGTGGTGGTGCTGCTGCTACTGCAGCCACCGCTGCTGCTGCAGCAGTTTCTTCAGTTGCTCCAGTCGCTGCTGTCTCTGTTGGGTTGGTTGGTTGGCCGGTCGGTGTTCATACCTCCACTTCTTCCAGGAAGCTGTGCGGGCGAGTCTGTCAGCAAGCGGCCGGCGAAGATCATGATGGCCGGCGTCCACCTGAGTCAGACCTACCAGGATTTGCTATGCGCGAGAGGGCTCGAAGAAGCTGATATGAGAAGAATAATCAGGCGAGCGCCGGGGGATCGAGAATCGATGTGCTTAGGGTGCAGGCAAGCCGCAAGCTGTTGGACAAGTTTTGCTGTGAAAGTTCTCCACAGATCCTCCGAGCGAACGACAGGGGCAAGTGGTTGGAGGCGGAATGGTCTCATGGTCCGAAGGCTTCTGTTAGGTTCTTGATTGTAAGATAGTAATTATAGTATACCCCAAAACCTATTCTGGCTGTTAAGGCCTAGTAGCCGAAGTATACTATACCCCGAAAACCCATCGAAACATCACCAAGGCCTGTATTGGTCGGATTTAAAATAATTCCCCAAAGCCTGTTTGAATTATCAACTTGCCTATGCTAGTCGTGTTGCTAGGGGTCATAGTTACAACAGCAACAGCAGCTGTCTTGCAGTTAGAAGGTTCTTCGCGTAGGGCTTATAAATTATCATCTCCATTTAGTTTGTTCAGGGAGCCTTTGGGAGGGAGCGCGGTTACAAGTAAGCCAGCAAAGCTCGCTACGGCACATCTAACCCTACATGCTAAGTCCCCTTCTCCACCAAGTACTGGTTCGCTGGTAAACAAACGGAAACTCCATTGGTACATAAACCCCTGAACCCTGCATGAAAGGCCATCTGTTCCTGACCCCACGAGCCTACAACCATGCTCGGAAGCCCAGATATATCACGCAGAACCCTTGCTAGACTAGACTCTCAAGCGACGAAATGACGCCTAACAGTACGCGGCCCTTTATCCCTACCTACACTCATATTTATACATGTATACATACTCTCTCGTGTGTATGTATGCACGTATGTGTACATATACACACACAATGTAGAACAATGAACGGAAACCCTTTCAGTGTCCGTGTACTGAACCCGACACTCCTGACGGCGGCAGCGGCAAGTTCCTCGGCTGAAGGCAGGCCGGCCTCGCAAGCTCAGTTTGTTGGTGCTTGCGTTACTTGGGCTGTTTCGGGCTCGCTAGCGTTTCTACCGGGTTTTAACGGGTGTTATAGGGTCGTTTAGGCATTTTTGCTTGTAATGTTTGCTTTTTCTAGGATTGCTTTGATGATTGTTTGTTTTGACGGTTATGTATACAGATTTTATTTGGCTAGTTTTCTTCCTGAGGTCGGCTCCTTGCTTTCAGTGAGGTTTCTACGGCTTGAATAATGAAGGGGTCAGACTAGTTGGAAGCAGTATTTTTCTCACCATCCCTGTATAACTGTATGAACATCAGCGAAAACCTTTGAAGAGTATTCAGGTCTCGCTACATTACACCTCATGAAAGCCTGGTTATGAATACACGTCCAGCTATGCACTCAGTCCCCTCGATTCCATCCAATGTCATAATGTAGAAGTCTGAATACTTGCCAACATTATTGCTGTGCGGAAACTCTAAACCCTAAACCCTTTACAGCTCCCTTTAAAGGAACCCTTATAGTACCCTTATGGTAACCCTTTAAAGGACCCCTAAGATGGCATAACTTACACCAACACCCCACTCCAACTATTGAGGCCCCTATGCTACACAAAAGTCACCCTAAACTGCATGAACCCTAAACCCCAAAACCCTAAACCAAAAAGACCCCAAAACCCTAAACCCCGAAACCCTAAACCAAAAAGACCCTCAAACCCTGAACCCTGAAACCCCAAAGCCCTAAACCCCTAAAGCCGAAGCCCCAAAGTTGCCCCCGGCCTCCGCGGCCTTCGCGGCCTCCCGAAGCGCGTTGGCCGCGCCCTGCGGCCCGGGTCGGTCGGCCCTTCCCTGGAATACGGTAGAAGAAGCCTGGCGGTGTAGGGTTTAGTTAGGACTTGGGGGTTTAGGTATTAGGGTTTAGGGGTAGGGTTTAGGGTTTGGGGTTTAGGGTTTGGGGTTTAGGGTTTGAGGTTCTGGAGGACGGTAGAAGAGGCCTGAGAGTCTTGAGGGTTCCTTTAAAGGGTAGTATAAGGGCTCCTTTAGGGGTGTATGGGGGTTGTGAAGTTAGGGTTTAGGGTTTAGGGTTTTGGGGTTTGGGTTTAGGTTTAGGGTTTAGGGAAGAACAGTCTTGTGGGTTTGCTGCTGTCTTTGTAGGACTCTACCTTATGGTTATTCGGTAGAAGAGGCCTGAGAGTTTGAGGGTTCTGGGGTTTGGGTTTAGGGTTTGGGGTTTAAGTTTTAGGGTTTAGGTTTTAGGGTGCCGGGTTTATAATTATAGGGTTTAGCCTGGAGGACGGTAGAAGAGGCCTGGCGGGAAAGAACGGTTTGAGGGTTCTTTTTGGGGCTTGGTGCAATACGGGTAGCTATGGGGTTGAGGGACAATGGGTTTATAGTATTAAACGAAACTTCACAGTACTGCAGGCTCTGCTTAGGAGTTCTTCGGATTCTGTGGTAGCTGGGGTTCAGGTCTTAGGCTTTGGATGTTGTGACAGTGCTGTTTCGTCGGCCCCCCAAACCCCAAACCCCAAAATCCATAATCCCCGAAACACTAAACCCCAAAACCCCATACCCTTAATCATCCTGCCTTCTTCCTCAGCAGCATGTGCGCGGAAGCCCGGGCCAAGTTTGCCAGGGCTTGACCTGTGAGCTCCTTCAGAAATGAGACGAAGCTTAGGCTCTTATGGTCTAAGTAAGGCTTAAGGGTTCTATTGTTTAGGTCTAAGGGTGTATTGCGAATCTAGCGTGTGTGTGTGTGAGTATATGCGCATATGTGTGTATGCAAGAGGTATCGCACGAAAACCAGCGTCATCCGTAAGGCTCGAATCTGTGCATACATCGCAAGCGGGCCAAAGGAAAATTAATTACACTGACAACTGACAACACACTAAGTTTACGCAGCTAGACAACAAAGCAGGCAGGGGACTGGCATCAACGTATCCAACTGCGTCTTGCTGCGAGCCTCGACTGCATCAACTGCGCGGGAAGCTATCGCGTTCACCGACAGTGGGCCGGCAACAGCCGTCACCGCAAGCGCCCACGCGGTGTTGGCAGGACCTGCTGAGAGATTGCTGCTTTACCTCTGATCCTGCTACCAATCCTCTTGACACCTTCGGCTGATTGCCACTACTTGTCTTCCCCCTCCTCTACTGCTGCTGCTGCTGCCTGCATGACGACTGCGAATTCGAGCACGGCTGCGTGTTACACCGCGTGTTGTCATAACTGATGATACTACTCCTACTCCTACTCCTACTCCTACTCCTACTCCTACTCCTACTCCTACTCCTACTCCTACTCCTACTCCTACTCCTACTCCTACTCCTACTCCTACTCCTACTCCTACTCCTACTCCACTACTACTACTACTACTACTACTACTACTACTACTACTACTACTACTACTACTACTACTCCTCCTGCTCCTGCTCCTGCTCCTGCTCCTGCTCCTGCTCCTGCTCCTGCTGCTGCTGCTGCTGCTGCTACTACCACCAACCACTACCACTGCCACTACCACTACTACGACTACTGCTACTGCTACAGTGCTACTGCTGCTACACTGCTACTGCCGCTGCCACTGCTACTCATACGAGGACGACATGTGACGACGACGATCTGCTACTGCTACGCGACACCATCCACGACTAGGATACCCAGTAACCTAAGAATAAAAAGGCCTCTCTTTTTGGTATTGGGTAACTTTATAAGGAACCTAGGGCTACAAAAGGGGAATAAGGGTACTACTGGAGATCCTAGAGGACGACCACAAGAAGAGGGGCCTTGTGCTTCGGACTCCTCGAGCTTGGCGTGAACCTACTCCTGAAGACTGATCAGTGCTTAGGAGATGGTTCAGGGCCGCTTATAAGGTTAAGGCTTTAGGGGAGGATGGAACTTAAGAGTATCAGAACCAGAAATGAGAGCATGTTCAATAAGTCGTCTAGGACCCCAGGGCGAGGGTCAACTCAAGGTGTTGTAGGCTTCGGGGCTGCAAGCCGTGCCCGGTGTGGATCTTGGCAGCAGGGTCGCAGGCTTTGACGTCATGGAGTACTCATGGGGCAGATAAAATCTTATAACTATGCCTACCACTTATAACCCCACTTATATAACTATCGATGAACCTCCAAGTAGGTTACCACCTTCGACCCCTCGGCACTCAGGCAGTTTGCAATCCACCCAAAGCAAGCAGAAGCAGGACCCTGCAGCCAAAAAACGAATGAACAACAATCGCTAGACGCCAAACCCGATAACACCATCATGAACCACCAAACGGCGGCCAACCCCAAATCTCTGACTCCACTCCCGAAGCTCAGCACACGTCAACCCAAACCAGCCTAACCATTGATACGTCAAGACCACCACAATCACCAGCGTCTCTGTCATGGTATATGCAGCTTCACCATCGCCATCCACTTTCATCATTACCATCATCGAAACCGAAAGGAAGTTCAGGATAATGTGGGGGTCGGTTTAGGAATATAGGCTCTTTTAATGCGTCGGCTCCGGGGCTAATTCCGAATCTGACAAAAAATTTGGGGTGTTCTAATTAATGCGTTTTTTTTGGCTGGGGTGATTTTTTGGTGGCGGGGCTGTGCTATTTGCTGATGGTCAATCTTAAGGCAGCCACGACCTAAACCCCCGCCCAAACCCCCACCCAACCTCCTGGCCCTGAAGCCCGAAAATCTCTTGCAGAATTGTTTCGCTTATTGGGGCGTCAGGAATGAAAATCTGTACTACTACTGTACTACTACTGTACTACTATTCTACTATACCTTGATTATTGGGGGGGGCTGGGGGGCTGCTAGGGTGAACCGCCGAATCGGGGATTGGACCCTAGCTCAAAAGAGGCCTCTCCAGTACTAAAGTTTGTATAAAAAATTAAGTTTTGGGTCGAATCTGGACCGACCCCCCTTTGGAAGGGTTTAGGGCTTAGGGTTTAGGGTTTGTTATAGGGTTTAGGAGTGTAGGATTCTTTAGGGTTTAGGGTTCGGGGTTTAGGGTTTCAGGCGCTGGCTTTATGCTTTGC